CAAACCAGGGCTCTAGGATCATGTCCATCTATCTGAAAGGGCATCTGACAGAGAATTAGTATCAGGAAAAGTTCGTTCTTTACTTCGCACAACCGAGCTGACTTTCCCACCCTGATGTTCTCCAAATGAACCAAATGGGTCCGAGGCTGGGGAAGTCTGCCTTAACAACAAAGTAAATGTACTGAGAAAAAAGCAGGATAGCATAGCTAGCAGTCCCATCAGGAATTTCTGCTGCCATAGAAACTGCAATCCCAAGCTTAGAAGGCAAAATGCAGCTGAGGTTACCTTGAACCTGGTGCGCTGGCCTGCACGTGTTTGCTTCTGCACTGGCATGATTTTCAAAACCTCATCCTTCAGAGAGGAACCCAGGAAAAAGTCAATGATTTCAGACTCCTGCAAAGTCAATATTGGATTGAGACCACAGCTGTAGACTTCAGGAAGATTTCACAACAGCATCAACTCTCTCTTCATAGTTGTCTTGGTCCACTGAGTCAACCCTGGCTCCTGATGACTACAGGAACAAGTCAGTGCAATTTTCTTGGCAATATTTTTGGAAGTGGCTTGCCAGTACCTTCTTCCTAGGGCTGAAAGTGACTGGCCCAGTCACCCAGATGGCTTTCATGCCTAAGGTAGGACTAGAACTCCATTTCCAGCTTCTAATCTAGTGCCTTTAACCACTATCCCAAACTAGCTCTCACTAAGATGGTTTTTCTCTAGCTCCTTTTAAAGCCATCTATGCCCAAACTTATTAATACACCTTGTAACAATAACTTGAAGAGAATAAATTATTTCCAACTTTCCACGTTTAGACTGTCTCATTGGTTTTACTGGGTGACTAACACATGGGTGCACACATGTGCTTACCCTGCCCCCAGCCCTGCAGCTATCTATGTTATCATCTTAGAAATCTGAGAGAAAGCAATGAGTTTTCCAAGTTTGTAAGATTAATACCTTGATTGGAAGAGAGAAAAGATAAATCTCTTCCAGAGATTTGATTTTCATGTCCTTCACCAGTCGGCCAAGTTTGGTGACAGGCATCCACTGCAAAAATAGAAATAAGGCTATTAAAGAATCCAAACTTTCTTGAGCAACAATATGTTTTACATATAAAGGCCAACCAGCGGAAGCCTAGTTACAATTTTAAAAAGATAGTACAAGGCACTTGGAGGAGTGTGTGCATTTTAATGACCCATCACCTTCCTTACTATTTGCAAGTTTTGTTTTTTATGCAGGAGACAGGCAACGGTTATATGTTCCACCTGATCTCGGGCAGCAAAGTCCAGTCTACTGTGCTACTGTTCTGTAGGAACAGACCAGAACCTTTGATTTCCACAATACCATAAACAGAGAAAAACCTATTAACATATGAAGGGCTCTCTAACTATAGCGGGGTCTATTGAGCTCTGGTCTGGATTGAAATAGAAGACCAAAAGTGCATACAACATAAAGGCCTTAAGTATTCTGAGCCTTGATTTATTCATCCTAAAAAAAATGAAAACATCATTCCTAAACTCCTTTATTTATTACCAGTCAGAAGATGGCATGCCTAGAAATACATCTAGAAAAACAATTTCCATTTGCTTCAGTGAAATTACAGGACACTTTACCACGCTTATCAAAATTTAAAGACTCAAAAAAGAAGACTAATTCTGCTTACTTCTTTGTCCTCAGCTTTGCCTCGAGCCCCACGACCACGTCCACGACCACGTCCACGACCACGTCCGCGGCCCCGGCCTCCACTGCCAAAGCCTCCTCGGAAGCCCCCCCTGGCAGCTGGTCCTCCTGCTCCTGCCCCTCCGCCGCAGCACCGGCGTCATCCGCCATTTGCTGGAAAAAAAAAATGTTGACATTTGCAACAGTCAAATGTTGAATTGTTTCAGGATGTGCATACGAGGATGGTCCAGAGCACAACAAGTGACCAAGCAGAAATACAGGAGTGGGAAAAAATCCGTTTCCAGTCTGGAAATGGAGCCATGTTCAAAATCACGTTTCCACCCTGAAAGCATTGACCCTAAAAAAAAGCTAAGAACAAAAATAAAGCAATTTCTCTACCTCAAACCATACTTCTTGAAAAGTATGAAAAGAAAACTGGAACCAGTGTCAAAACCATTAGGTCCCTCATCTCCTTTGCAAGTACTGTATATCAGAAGCCATCCTGCCTAGTCCTTCAACTATCTGCATGTCAGATTCCACAGATGTGTGAACCACTTCACACATGCTTCAGGTAGGTTCTGTGCCTGAACCAGAACACACATTTCAGGTGTTTTGGTCTGTGTGAGCAATGAAACAAGGCTGTTTTGTTCTGTGCAGAAATGGTGGGAGAAGGCAGGTGGGAAAAAGCCAAGGATACGAAGAGAGAACGTGAGGCCGCGCAGACACAGTATCTAAGCAGAGGAAAGGAAAGTTTAGGCAGCAGACCAGTGAGACAGGCTATGCTGGAAGTGGGGTAACACGCGTCAGTCTCGCTCTGCTCAACCCATGCAAGTTTTGCTTCTGCAAACTCCCTTGACCCAAAATGGTTCAGCAGGACTCCTGGAACAAGATGGTGAAGGGGAGACCCACCCGGCACCAAGCAATGACAGACAATCCGAGCGAGGGACAGCGAGCCAAATTTAAGCAAGTTCTAATCCACAGATTGGGCCGGGGCTTTCGCTGAAAGCAGGGTTCCTCAACCTCAGCCGCTTGAAGATAGGTGGACTTCAACTTCCAGAATTCCCCAGCCAG